CCATCCTCAGCTTTCCACTTGACCTACAGTCAGCAATGGCAGAAGAGACCGGGAACCAGCAAGGGCCTGGTATGAAGGAAGCTCTCATTTTCCATCTTCACATCATAGCTTGCAGCCTAAATAATCTCTTTGACTTTAACCTCTGTCTTTTGCCCTCTTTCCCAATAATGGGCTTTTCTTTAGGATGTTTTCTTCCTGTCCTATTGAAGTCAATTAGAGTTTTGTTAGTAATTTCAGCAGAAGCAAGATCAAGCTTTTTTTTTTTTTTCTTTTTTGGTATCTAATTTGGATTGCAGTTGTACTGATTGACAACTCCACTACAACTGCACTGAATTGTTGCCCAAATCAGTAATCTACTTTGGTGTCTTAATTAACTAGAGTCAAATTTGAATTGAATTGCTTTTCTTGGAGATCTTTTAGGGTGGCTGTCAATCCAAAGGTAAAGACTTTTATAAAATTGCTGCTGCTTTTTATTTTGTACAATTGCTTTAGATAAAGATATTTTTCTTCATCTCTTACCTCTCAGTACTTACATTTTCTTATTTCATATTCCCTTCTATTTCCTTTTTTCATTTTTAATATATTCTTTTCTCCCTCTTATTTTTTAATTAGCCTTCTATTTGAATTTAATTATTTTCTTCTCTTTCAGCTAACTCCTGTCTTACACAGCACACTATCTCACCATCCCCTTCAACAAAGCTCTGTCTCTCAGCTTCACCTGCCTCTTTTAAGTCTCAACTCTTTAATTTTTTTTTTGCACTTCTAATCCCCTCCCCCCCCAATAATTCTTTTTTAACTCCTGAGTTTCCCTTCCAGCCACAGGACCTAGGTTTCTCCCCTTTTGTTTCCTTTACATCAACACAGTGCTGTAGGTCCCAAATCAGCAGCACTGTATCTGTACCCTTCCAGTGTAGAGAAGAATCAGGCCAACAAAGCAAACTGGGATCTTTTCCTAGGAAAAACTGGGATGTTCCTTTTGAACAGACTGGGAAACAACTGCTCAAAATATGACAAATAATTGGAAAATTTTTCACATTCCTGATCCCAGGAAGGTGGAAGAACATTTCAATAAGCATTTATTAAATATTCCTGGTCTTTATCCATTCCCTATCAACATTTCTCTTCCCACTCCCTTTCTTCCTACAAAATTCACATATGCTGTCTCTCTTGGGCACAGATTCTGATCTTGTTTTTACTGCTTTTATACTGGCTTCACTGTGCTAATTTCTGTTTCATTTCTTTTGAGTTATCCAAGCTTAAGCAAGAGCAGACTCAGGCTCTCTGTTGGGCTGGGATTTTTTTTTTTCTTTTACTTTTTAAATTTGATGTCCCAGCTGATCTTAAACAGTTGGCTTTTTTCATTTCAGGAGTAGCTTAAGTCTGCACTCTCCAACAGCATACAGCAGTTATCAGTTAATGAGATGACTCGTACCCTTGTCCACACTTACATCACTACGCCTGCTTAAATGAGCTGATGTGCTGCAATTGAGGATTAAACCGTCTCTTTCAATCCTGCATGCACTGCAGCACAAGCTACTCATTCCAGCAGCCACAGAAGCGATTGCAGTCCTGGGAAAGTCAAGATGAGCAGAAACCCTTGTGCATAAAAGGTAAAGCAACTTCATCAGTAGGAAAATGAAAAGAGGAACACATCCTCTGCCTGCTGTTCAGATGCTGCTGAAATGCCCTACCTGTTTTTTCCAAATATACATTGGTTTGTGTATTTTCACATCCTTTTTTAATCCACCCACCCATGCTTCATTTTTGAAGGATGCACTGTGAACATACCAGGGTTAAAAAGAACGCTCCAACATTCATGTCTGTAGACTTCACCATTCCAAAGCCATGCACATACAGTATAGGAAACATGTTCTAGAAAAACAAGAAAATCTCTAGTGTTAGAATATGATCTTTGGGGTTTCGTACTTCCAGGGTGAAGTAACAACTTTGATACCCTGAAGCTTGAAGAGCTATTTTTGTAATAATGCTATGTTTGCTGACTCCACAAGGAAATCACAAATTTTGGGGTATGGTTCCAGAGGATTTAATCCAAGTGTTGGTCCTGTGCTGAAGGATATTTAGCTACAAATGACTACCTGGTTATTTAAACAGGGGAGTTGAGAATTACATACATCTTTTGGTTGTTATTGATTACAGAAACACCACAGGGCTACCTGTGGAGTTACCCTAGGTTCAGATGTACCCTCTTCTTTCTCTGCAGACCGCATAAACAAAGATGCCTCAAGGAAGGATTGGAAATCGGGTTCCATTTATCAGTGCATGGGTATACCTTGTTCAGAGAACCTAAATTAGTTGTTCCATTTCCATGTTACAGAGACAAAATTAATAATATTTCTTCATATGTGGAGGCAGCATTTGCACTGAGGTGATTATACTTGCCAAAACAAGAAAAAGCCTCAGTTGCTGAATATTTTTGCTGTTATCTGTTATTACTCTCTTCTCTGCAAAACTTCTGTTTTAGGCTTCTTTGACTTATTAGAGAGCTAAGACACCACTTTTATAAGTAGCTTTATGTAGTACCAAGACCCTGTAAGATCCCAACACAGCTCTAGGCACTGTGCAGACACCTACCAATAGACAAATCCATATAGCCACTCAAGCCTGAAATATATTTATATCAATGCAAAATTAATGTATTATACTACCACTCAGGTCTGATGGCATCTGAGGTCCATCAGTTAATCAATTGTGTGCAGCACCAAAACAGTACTGAAGGGACACAGCAGTCCCTGCCCTGGCAACCTCATGAACTGTTTTCCCATGCCTTCCATGTTACACTTATGTGAGCTCTACACATAGGCAGCAAGTCTTCAGGCTTAGAAAGGATTCAAAATAAAACCCACACCAACACAAAAACCCCATTGTGTACTTTCTGATTAATTTTTGAGTGCACCTGAAGCAATTACAAGAGTAGTAATGATATTCTTCATAGAGTCTGTCCTTTAATGTGCACCATAATTAGAGGAAACTTGGATCCCAACAGGCATGGTCTCTAAAGACTCGAGGGATTGGAGGGAGAGGTGTGTGAAAGGGAAGGGGGTAAGGCCATTAAACGTATCCAAGGCACCTCTGCCTATCCCTCTCAGCACAGACCAATGCAAATATGTGTTCTGAAAATTAACACAGCTAGGAAGGAAACATCCCACAGGGAGAATCAATACCCAGCAAAGGATAATGGGAACCCTGTGCAAGCAGCTGTGATCTGCCCTCTGAACATTAGCACCTGTCTACGACAGCAATCAATGCTGGTCAATGGGCAGCTCTCCTTACAGCTCAATTCACACAATGATCGTTAGCTGGAACCAACACCGTGGCACCCCATGCTGCCAAATGGTGTCCCTTTCTTCCTAAATGGGGACAAACAATTACTTCCCCAAATAACTGGCACTGCTCTTTTTCATCTTTTCTCCCTCCCTTCTGCTTTGGTCTTTTTGGAGTATACAAGGAGGATCCATATAATCCATAGCTAGAAATTAAGTTATTCAGCTTAATTTCAGGATGTGTTCTGCCACAGAGTCAAGGCATGACAGGCACTTCAGTTCAGCCATAGCAAGGAATTTGGCCTTAACCATTTCCACCGATAGCACGTTTGTTCTTGTACTTTATGGGTTTTATTGAAGAACTTTATTTATTACTCTTTCAAGGACAGTGGAAGATCAAAATCGGAGTTGCTCAGAGCAAGTTGGAATTTGAGCTATTCTCCGCAGGATAGAGAAATTTTGCAGGCAGTGACCTTTATGCCTGTCTATAACTAAGTTGCATCACTGAACACCACTCCTGTCACAGCCTTTGTGCATATCTCCATACAGTTGCACTATAATATAGTAATAGGAGAAGAAATGGATATAAGCAGAGTCATGACGCTTTCATGGAGTCCACTGGGCAGAGAAACATATTAGTCTGATGTAGTCAGCAGCAGATCCTGAGAATGTTTCTTTCACTCAGAAGGACCCTTTTGTTTCTGGTGCAAATAATAGCAAACAATATCAAAGTCTGCAGATTTGTTTTAGAAATTTGAGGCATGTAATTTTGACTCATGATGGCATGACTCCTGATAGTCTCCAAACTCTGTTGTGCTTCAGTATCCTAAGATACTGTGAAATACATGCAGCAAGCTGAACTCTAAAGAGATCAAAGCCCCACTGCTCTAAATGCCATGTGACTACTTACATGCTCAAAATTAACGGTATGCTTCATGTGACTGGGATCCGTGAATCTACACTAAACACTAAAAGCCAGAAAAATGTCTCCAGAAGTCTGCAGAAAATCATAGTAGCCACCAAAAATTACTCTGGATCTTGCAGTTCCCAGTCCTGCGCTCTCAATGCAATAATATCCAGTTTCTTACTAGAGAACCCAGTAGCATTAGCAAACACAGAAATGCAGATTGAGCTTACTGAGATGCCAGCTAGGGCTCTGAAAGGTAGACAGCTGAGCAGTGTACTGGAAAATGACCAGATATATTTAAACTGGCATGATCCAGTTCACTACATTCTGAACTGATGCCAAAAGTTGAGGGGCATCTTACGTAAGGGATACACGTTTCTGCCATCTACTCCTGGTACTGAGCACAGCCGAGTGAAGAGCGGGGAGCAGAGAGCAGAGGATATCCTAGAGTGTTCTTTCAAACATGACACAGATTTCCATTTTGTCACGTTCTTAGCATGTGTGTTTATTTTCCTTGAATATTCAAGCATTTAGAGCTTTACATTTGCCAGAGCTTATGAAAAGTGCATATTTAGCTCAAAGAGTTCCCAGATGTGAATTTCCAAATGACATTGTGTTGATTAGCTATAGAAGGCAGCCAGTCAAAGAGCAGAAACAACAACATGTGACTTGGCATTCCCCAGTCAGCCAGAAAATAGTCACCCATTTAATTTTTCATGAATTTTCCAAAATCTGGGAATACAGCAAAAGTTAAAAGCATGAATAATGTTTCTGTTTCCTAAACCTCACCTAATGTCTTACCCTATCATCAATGATGTTTCACCTCCTCCTGTTGGGAAAGATCTTAAGAAGACCTGTGGGGTCATCGCAAAGCAGTGGCCAGGACTTCAAGGTTTCTTCATTGCTGAAGTTATCCTGCTATGGAGACACCTGGGGCTCTGACCCACCTCTGGGGGAAAAAAATGAAATTAGAGTGAAATGCGTTTATTTTCTCTTAATGTTATGCATTGTTTGCAGCTGATCATTCATCATCACAGCTCACCCCTATGAATGATTCATGAGGGGACAGCTGTTCCCCTGGCCTCTGCTCCTGAGCTGCACATGCCACAGGAGGCATCCCCAGTCTGGTTACACGAAAAGTGGAGCACCTGAGAAGTGCTGAAGCCTCTTTAGCTCAAAGAGCTTAATTTTTTCAAATGCAGGCAAGGCTACAATGCACCCTAACAGTGCAAGGGGGAAAGGAATGGGTAAGTAGGTTACACGGAGAAATAAAAGGTGATTCAAGGCATTCCCCAGCCAAGATTTAAGCTAAGCTATAAGGAGAGGTAGTATTAGTCTGATTCTTCTAGATTCCACAAAATGCATGCATAAAACACACAAAACTTCATGAAATTGTTGACATGTTTTGCAGATATTATTCAGTTTGTGTCCTATTTTTGAAGAAAAGGTCTATAATTAAACGGCAGGCATTACAAAGGACACAGTAAAGCCAGTTTTCATATCCATTTCTGATTTGCTTCTGAGTCTTGTCTTTGTATAATAAGCTGTGTCTCACACTTTTGTGCACAGCACGTATAGCACTTTCTACTGCAGACAGAACTAAACTTCTCCTAATGAGGCTTCTCAGCTTTAAATTAACTGTAATGTAAAAATAATATCCTCCCTCTTTCTTTACTATTACCTCAACTGAAGGAAAAAAACATAAGAGATAATTTTAAATTTTACTTTAAAAGCACAGTTGGTAATATTACAGTTATTATTATTACAAATCAGCTGGTTTTTTTTCAAATACAACGATAATTTTGCCTTAAGAAAATATGAAACTGGCAGTGGAACTGAAGTGCCAAAAAATTTCTGCACTGTGTGTGGATGTTGCACAAATCTTATACCTTTTTCCCTTCTCTTGTGTCCCTGCCCCTTTAGAAAAAAGATAAATTACTTCCAGGATGATATTCTACTAGCAATTTTAGGAAATCCCTACACCCCAGTGATTGCACTGAAGAGAGAGTGTTGCTAATCTTTCAAGCTCCACACACAAAATGATTGAATTGCCAAAATCTGATGCCATTCCTAATAAACAGCACACATTTAGAATACATGAGAAAATGCTACTTAGAATTTGTGTTTCAAACTCTTTAAAACCACTTTGATTGAAAAAAAGCATCACAGACTGACATTTCAAAAAATAGTTCCTAACTGGGAAGCCTCTCAATCTATAGCCCAGGTTTGGAATTCACATATCACTCTCTTCTTTAAGGAGTAATAGTTTATACCAATGCAGAATGGGATTTTTTTTTTTTTTTTTTTTTTTAAACCATACAGCTTTTGTGTTAGATGTTCTTTATCCTATTTGGATAGTGCTTTCTTGCAGCCTCATTCTGACCTTTCACTCATCCCACCACAGATTCAGTCTACAAAGTATTCAAGGTTATTTATACCACAATCATTGTTTATACAGAAGTGGGCAAGGGAAATTCAGTTGTTTGTAAATGCAGGAGGCAATTTAAAATAGAATGAATTTCAGCTGCAGTGCTGGAATTCTTTACCGTGCTTCCATAAGAGATGTACAAACCACTTACTCTGCAGAGAACAAGGTTACAAGTCGCACATCATACATACACTGGAATTACATGGTTTGTGGTAGACCTCTCTGGTGCCAGAGCCAAACTCTGTTCTCAATCTCTGGAGACAATGGGCTTGTGTTGATATAAGGTTGCAGAATTTGACTTTAAATCAGTAAGCAGGCATACCAGACAAAAAACAACAGGCCTCTGCAGACATATGTCCTTGATCAGATATTACTTGCACATGGAAATCATTTTTAGTTACAGAAGAAAGCTTTTTGTTGTCTCCAGAAAGACCAGTACCATGCCTATGCAGCCAAATGTTAAGTAGCTCCCTGGAAGCAGCAGTGGTTACCTTTGTTGTAGCGGAGGAGAACCATGGGAAGATTTCCCAGAGGGAGAGACCCTGTGTCTAGCAACTTTTTTTGCCATTAACAACAGTTAGTGCAGTTCAACCTCCTCATCGCATAGACATGTGGCACCAACGCCATCATACCTGCATGCAGCCCAGAGAATTAATTATACAGATCTTTGCTTCAGGGAGTTGGACTCAATGATCCTTATGGGTCCCTTCCAACTCAAGATATTCTATGAGTCTATGATTCTATATATTTCAGCTTGCTTCCAATGACATTTTCCAGTGACAAAAGTCTAAAAGGACAAAAGTCTAAAAACGAAAGCGTTATTCATTTAATAAATACGTTGCTATAGGATTCTTTCCTTTGATATAAAAACCTCTATTGATTATCTCAGGCTCATATTTATTTAATTAAGATCACTTTAAATGATACAGTGAGAGATGAAATTTGTACAGAACAGTAGAATCCTTGAAACTGAAACAAGGGCAATTCCTTCAAGTACAGTGTGGCTATAAAACAATACCTCTCCTCAGTACCCTTCAGTTTCCAACTGTGTGCAGAACATGATACTATTATCTGTAGGAAGAAAAACAAAGAGAGAAAGAGTGGTTGTTTGTCTGGAACAAATTATTACTTTTAAAGGTGAGGCATAACAGAGCTCAGAAACCATTACCATTAGATATGTTGTGTATGCCCATGCTGGTCACTCTCTGAGAAACATATTCTTCTCTAGCAGTTAAGCCCTATATCCTGTATCCTCAGTACTGAAGATCTGATTCAAGCTGAATGCTATCAGATTCAAACATACTAAATTTTAAGTGTTTCCACTCATAATTAAAAGCTTGCATCGTTTCTTACTTAATGTTGCAAGGATTTTTAATGATCAAGATAAGATTTTACTCTTGGATAACATTTATCTGCAGATTTGCATGCAGTCTATCTGAAAGAGAGAAAACTGAGCATCAAAGAAGCAAAGTCCATACATAAGCTCCTCAGCAGAGGTGAGGTTAGATCCCTCAATTAGTCACCTTTTCACTGGATCACTCTGCCAGTAGAAGTCAAAAATACAGAATTCATAGAACCATAGAAACATTTAGGTTGGAAAGTGCCTTTGAGATCATCGAGTCCAACTGTAAACCTAACACTGCCAAGTCCCACTAAACCATGTCCCCAAGCACCACATCTACATGTCTTTTAAATACCTCTGGAGATGGTGACTCAACCACTTCTCTGAGCAGTCTGTTCCAGTGCTTGATAACCCTTTCAGAGAAGACATTTTTCCTAATATCCAATCTAAACCTACCCTGGCACAACTTGAGGCCATTTCCTCTCATCCTATCACTTGGTAATTGGGAAAAGAGACTGACACCCACCTTGCTACAACGTCCTTGTAGAGAGCGATAAGGTCTCCCCTCAGCCTTCTTTTATCCAGGTTAAACGCCAGTTCCCTCAGCCGCTCCTTATAAAACTTGTGCTCTAGACCTTTCATCAGCTTTGTTGCCCTTCTCTGGACATGCTCCAGCACCTTTCTTGCCATGCGGGGCCCAAAACTGAACACAGTATTTGAGGTGTGGCTTCATCTGTGCCGAGTGCAGGGCGATAATCACTTCCCTAGTCCTGCTGGCCACACTGTTTCTGACAGAAGCCAGGAGGCTATTGGCCTTCTTGACCACCTGGGCACACTCATCTGGCTGTTGACCAATACCCCCAGGTCCTTTTCTGACAGGCAGCTTTCCAGTCACTCTTCCACACACCTGTGGCATTGCATGGTCTTGTCATGACCCAAGTTCAGGGCCCATCACTCAGCCCTGTTGAACCTCATACAATTGACCTCTGCCCATCGATCCAGCCTGTCCAGATCCCTCCATAGAACCTTCCTACCCTCAAACAGATCAACATTCCCACCCAATTTGGTGTTGTCTGCAAACTTACTGAGGGTGCATTCGATCCCCTCATCCAGACTGTTGATAAAGATATTAAACAGAACTGTCCCCAGTACTGGTCCCTGGGGAACACCACTTGTGTCTGGATGCCAACTGGATTTAACTCCATTCACCACAACTCTTTGAGCCTGGCCATCCAGCCAGTTTTTTACCCAGTGAAGAGTATGCCTGTCCAAGCCATGAGCAGCCAGTTTCTCCAGGAGAACGCTGTGAGAAACGGTGTCAAATGCTTTACTGAAGTCCAAGTAAACAACATGCACAGCCTTTCACTGATCCATTAAGCAGGTCACCTTTTCATAGAAGGAGATTCAGGTTAGTGAACCAGCACCTGCCTTTCATAAACCTGTACTGACTGGGCCCGATCACCCAGTTGTCCAGTACGTGCCATATGATGGTACTCAAGGCGGTCTGTTTCATAACCTTCCCCGGCACTGAGGTTGGCAGGCCTGTAGTTCCCCATATCCTCCTTCCAGCCCTTCTTGTAGATGGGTGTCACATTTGTAAACCTTCTGTCAACTGGGACCTCCCCAGTTAGCCAGGCCTGCTGATAAATGATTGAAAGTGGTTTGGTGAACACTTCCACCGGCTCCCTCAGTACCCTTGGGTGGATCTCATCCATCCCCATAGACTTATGTATGTCTAATTGGTGTAGCAAGTCACCAACCATTTCTTCCTGGATTATGGAGGCTTCATTCTGCTGCTCTTCCCTGTCTTCCAGCTCAGGGGACTGTGTACCCAGAGAATAACTGGTCTTACCATTAAAGACTGAGGCAAAGAAGACATTAAGTACCTCAGCTTTTTCCTCATCCTTTGTCACTATGTTTCCCCCCACATCCAGTAAAAGATGCAGATTGTCCTTAGCCCTCCTTTTGTTGTTAATGTACTTACAGAAACATTTTTAGTTGTCTTTTACAGCAGTAGCCAGATTAAGTTCTAGTTAGACTTTGGCCCTTCTAATTTTCTCCCTGAATAACGTCACAACATCCTTGTAGTCCTCCTGAGTTGCCTGCCCCTTATTCCAAATATCATAAACTCTTTTTTTTTTTCCTGAGTTTCGGTCAAAACTCTCTGTTCAGCCAGGCTGGTATTCTTCCCTAACAGCTTGTCTTTTGGCACACAGGGACAGCCTGCTCCTGTGCCTTTAAGATTTCCTTCTTGAAGAATATCCAGCCTTACTGTACTCCTTTGCCCTTCAGGACTGCCTCTCAAGGGACTCTGTCAATCAGGCTCCTAAATAGGCTGAAGTCTGCTCTTCAGGAGTCCAAGATAGCAGTTCTGCTGACCCTTCTCCTTACTTTTCTGAGAATTGAAAACTGTGCCCAAGATGGCATCCAACCTACACATCACCCACAAGTCCTTCTCCTTTTGCAAACAACAGGTCCAGTGAGGCCCCTTCCCTAGTCCCTAGTTCCCTCACCAGCTGTGGCAGGAAAATAACTAAACCGGCCTTGTTGTAGACCTCTATGCCCAGGATTGACCTGTTTTCCAGTGCTCTTGGGTGATCTAAGAGGGTCCTACAGGTGTTACCTCAATTGAAAACTGATGAAGAAGAAAGAAAAAAAATTCTGTGCATGTAGTGGACATGAATGGAAATTCTTTGAACCAATGATCACAGCATTGTGTTCATACTGCAATATAAAATATCTGTGGATTTAAAGCATTTTTCTGTGATGCTTAATAAACCTTATATCTATGACAAACGAAAAAATTGAAAGATCAGTTTTTCTTACAATAACATTCACTACAATTTTTTCTTCATAATGCTTACATTTCTGTTCCCACAGTTAAAGGTACTTTCTCACCCTTATTGAACACAGCAAATATTTGAGACGGAACTGAAATAATTCATTCAGACAGATGTGTATCTTGGAAGAAAATCCAGCTGCATGAAAGCAGGTTAGTAAAGGGAATGATTTTGTAGGCATTGTCGTTCACTTCCTAAAATATCACTGATCTTTGTGAAGAACTTGTCCTAGAATAATTCCAGACTCCTTTTCCATATTACTGGTAGGCTTCTGTGCATATGTTTATATCCAGACTGTTCTCTGGATGTTCAGCCATTTGCAGAGATGTGTGTGTGCTGTGGTTCTTTTAAAGACCACTAATTCCTGCAGGAGAACTAACCGACTGCCCGCTAACCTATTGCCAAGCATCGCTGTGGGAGACAAAACCTCACCACTGCAAACAGATGCTGAAACTACTTCAGACCTACTCAGCTGTTGTGAATGTGCTTTCTATGTAGTAAGTGGCAAAGAAAATTGCAAAGCAGAGGTTGGACTAAATGACTTCCTAAGGTAATTTCAAAACTGAACTTTCCTGTGATCCTGTGACAGGTGGCAATGTGGTACATGAGACAGTAACTGCTCCTACTGCATAAACCTGAGGATTTACTGTCTATTATAACCAAGCTGTTGTTACAGTTATGCCATCTGATGTGAGGTGCTGCATGGACTAACATCCTGATTGTGCGAATTGCCTTCCTCTACTATGCTTTTCCACATAAAATACTAATATATGTATATATTTATATAAGATATATTTATATTTTATAAGGATATAAATTATAAATAATATAATTAATTACATAGGTCCATGTGACAAAATCTAGTGAAATCATTGTGAGCTAAAATAAAACCCAAGCAACACTTTGATGATTTAGCTATCTCTGTGCACTGTGCTACATCCTTTAAGCAGAAGCCCACACATGAAGATAGAGTGTGAAGTGCCTTTCCTGGGGCTTTATGGCAACCAGGGCTATACTGCCAGGAAAAGCACAGCTCTCGGCCATGTTCAACAGTTGTGCAACACTGATTTGGAGCAATATCAGAACGGGACCCCCCTCTAAGACAAAAATAGGGCTGGCAAAGTTGTGGAAGGATCCAACGCTTAACAACAGATACAGCACGTGGTGAAAGGGAATGCTGCTTGGAGCATAACGTGAGATAAGATTACACTCATACAGCATTGCTGTTTTTGCAGGAAGAAAGATGTTACCCCTCCAACACAAGCACACTCACACATTGTAATGAATCACAGATTAACCATCATGTTATTCCTGCAGATTGAAAGGGCTGTTGTAGAGTAGAAGACTGTGGGGGTGGTTGTCCTACTGCTAACAGCACCAACGAGCTGCTTCATTTCACTTGAGAGAAGGAATTCCAACATTACACTAACAGAAGTGCTCAAAAATCCCCTTTTCCCACCTATGCTGTGCTTGCTGTCATAAACACAGTCCTCCGATATTAACTGTTTTGTATTATTTCAATAAACAGTTCACTACCTGGTGTCAGTGGCCAGGATCCACAGAGCGATTCAAAGCATGCACACTTCAATGGAAACACATGCCCTGACTCCCATATCTCTCACATGGGCTGAGGGTCAGGCTCTTAGAGTCTGCACATGACTGGTAATTTTAAATGATTACAATGAAAGGAAAGACTGCCTTTTTAATGCCCAAGCACAACAGCTGCAATGTCATTGGGGTTGTGTTCTGAGATGCTCCTAGACTGCAGCCCAAATAAGTGTCTTAATGATACTTTGAAAATATGTAAAGCACTTCTTTTATATGCAATGACAATTCTGTCTGGGCGCATCATCTGTTTGTCCAGCCAGAACATAATTAGAATTAATGAA